GCAAAGCGTCATTTGTTTTGCTGTAAAATCATTATTTTATGATATATTTAAATATCTTCTAGAGCACTATATGTAGATGCAGATATATTCCTGTTCGATGATCCACTAAGTGCTGTCGATGTTCCTGTAGGAAAACATATCTTCGAAAAGTAAATATTTAAATGTTATTTATGGTATATTTGAATATGTTTGAACTTTGTATTTATTTCAGATGCATAATGGAATATTTGAAAGAAAAGATTTGCATCTTAGTTACACATCAAGTACAATTTTTAAACTCTGAAAATAAAGTTTTAGTGTTATGCAAGGTGAATATACTAATTGTTTATTAGTTTTGTTTTGTTAATTATTGTTTTAATTAAAAACTACATTGTGTTTTATTTATCATACATGAACTTTAACATTACTAAGTTCAGAATAACATAAAAAATTAATGAAATTAATTGGATTTTTGAATTAAACCACCATCAAACATATACTCTTTATGTTTTGAAATTCCGATACTGTCGAAACTGATATTGGCATCGATACTTTCGTGGTATCAGGATATCCTTAACTATATGGTGAATGCATGGCAATTATGTCCAATATATAGGCTATCTGCCAATTAATATTATTCTTGAAAAGAATGTATTTATAAGAATAATCTCATGAATGTAATGTGGATGATGTAAATGTGGAGAACACCGCTAGATCGAGTCGGTTGTTTAGTGATTTCAATCTACTCAGACACTGATGAGTTCCAGAACTGTTATATTTTCCTTCCATATATGGCAGTAAATAAAGATTAGTGATTGACACTAATTAAATAATTTATCTGTAAATATACCGATAATCAAATACAGTAGAACCTCGATTATCCGGACTAATTGGGGATGAAGGTAGTCCGGATAAAGGAAAATCCGGATAATCGAAACAAATACTTTAATTTGTCTTTTAATGATAATACAACACGTTTTCTTTGCGATGACATATCGGCAATATTAAAAGTAAATACTGTATTTAAATCGTGATCAAATTTTCAAGAAACAAACGTTCATATTGAATTTGGACTACTACTGACCAACGCTAACAGACTACCTATTGTTTAAAAGGCCCTCTGGTGTCGCAAGAAGACGGATTTTATAAAATAAAAAGCAGTTGAAACTGCATTTTTACGAATAAAAATTTGATAAACTATTTATCGTTTTATGACGAGTAAAATTTTTTCGTCGCGTTCGCGGCTTTTAAGTAATGCATAAACTTTCGAGGCGCGAGGCCCTTCGGACCGCGAGGCGTAGGCGGTGGCCCACGTCGCCCATGCCTTACGCTGCCCTTGGTCATAGAAATGATGTAATTTGAAAATAAATTATTTATAAATACGTATGTCAAGTTATATTTTTATTACGACGTAAAATATATTTAAGAGTTTACGACCACTGT